GACATAGCCCAACAGATCATTAAGCTAGAGTAGCAATGGATCTCGAATAATATTCTTCGAAGAACCGATAACCGATGGGGGAGTTCTGGAGTGGCTGTCAGTCAGCTGCAGCGTCCTCCAACTAGATAGAGTGAGTACCTGGTAATATATGGAGTAAAACAATGGATGAAATTGGCTCGGTGTTTTGTGGCATACTTATGGGATGCCTATGTTTGAGAGAGCTGTAATGATGAGATCCGATTGTTTACGATAACGTCTTGACCATATTATATTGTGAAGACAACTTCCACACATTGTCTTAAGTTATTGATTGCGAGATGTGTATTATAACGCCAAAAGTAGATACGTGACGAATTAAATATAAGATTATAGAGCGTTTTCCTTCGGCTAATGCCTACTTCCCAAAAGGACTGCACCGTATGGAAAAGACCAATTCGCTAAACCATTAACCTACCAAGGACTTCTTCGTGAAATGCCTAATTTGATCAAGTAACGGACTAATTCCCGGAATGCCATATTCGATAAAGGACCAATTCCTACTAAGAATTATTCGTAAAAGGTCCAATTCATGTAACGCCTAACCTGTTTAATCATGCAATCGCTGATTAGTCGTTGGTCGACTAAATCGTTTGGATTTGATTAGACCCGAAAATCAACAATTTGAGCTTTTGGACAAATGTTGGCTTTGGCTGTGATTCGATATCTAAGCCATGTGGTCGTTGTTTAATAAAATAAACCTTTCTTTAATGAAATAAAAGCCAAAAACGAATTTACGGTCCACGAGATTGTAAGCGGCTACTGCAATACATGAGACCTGCAGCGAAACTCTGCAGCAAGCTACATACAGATGTCACCTCTGAGGACTAAGATGTAATGCCTTACAGCCTGTAGTTATACTGCCTCTGTATACTCTTCAGATTGGAACTCAGCAGTGCAGTGCTTTATAGCGGTAGAAAAAGATTCACAATAAGGGGTAGGTATATTCACTCACAACGTCTTTGCTGATGGATTATCACATTCACATATTGTGTGAGTTTTTTTAAATCGAAGTGTTCATAATTATTGCCAAAGCTTGTTTGCTATTTTTTTCTTAATGTATTAGTCATAGTATACGACTTTGTGTTTTTGACTCTGTCCGCCTTCTAGTTTTGGTTTTATAGGGCGGCAAAGCTTAAGGCGACCCATATAAGTCTCACGTACCTTATTAATACAACTAAAAACCTTATTAATAAACAAAAAAAAATAGTGAACTCCGCATTATCGCAGGTTTACACAAGAGCGAGCGTAACCCATTTCAAAATTAATTTAAAGCAAGGAAGTTCGTCGAGTATGAACAGGGCAGCTTCTGAAACTTGGGCAAACGGCCCCGAGGTGTGCTTTTGAACATGATAGTTTTAAAAAGACAGCTACGAGAGTACGTCGGTGCTCCCCAGCATTCTTAGACAACGAGATCGTTTGTTTGGGAACTAGTTCTGAAACTCTTAAAAGTTTTTACTTAGTTTGTCCTTGTACATATAATATTAAAGTTCCTTAGATGTTTGTTTAGTTGTGAAGGAGCTGCATAAAAATATGGATATGAAAAACGTGATACGTGCGTATTGGAAAAATTATAAAAGAGAACAAACTAAACCATAGTTTTTTGCTCAATAGAAATATGACAGCTGTCATTTAGTATACAATCTATAGTGTATCCTGCAAATTTTAACGATTTAACTTAACTGGATTCTTTCTACGAGCGTTAATTAACTGGATTCTTTCTACGCGTGATTGTAAGTTTGATTTCGAAACTGCTTTTTAAACAAACCCAAGTTTGTTTAAAACATATGAAATGTCAAAAAATGACAGCTGTCATATTTCTACAAAGCAAAAAATAAAGGTTTAAACTAATATTAAGACGACAAAAATAACAAAAGAAAAAAATTGATAAAACTCATAATAAAATTATATTTTTTAAAAGAATTTTTAATAAGAAATTGCAATGAACAGTTTCATTGATGCTGGCGGTGATAGAATCGAGTTCCGAGCAACCAAAAGCCCTTAAACCCTCTCAGAAATGAAAGGATGTCTGTACCCAGCATTGGGGCGTATATAGGCTATAACTTTAACTTTTAACTTCAAAGAGACAAATGAATTTTCAGCCAACTGATGGTAAGTGACTGCAGCAGTCTATGTACACCTTACAGCCAATTTCAAATGATGAAGACTAAAGATGTGTTGTCACCTCTGAGGACTAAGATGGAATGCGTCACAGCCTGTAATTGTACAACTACAACTGAATACAGCAGTGCAGGCACTGTTATTTGTAATTTCTTAGTTGACGTCCAAGTGGGACGTCGATCAACTTGCATTTCGCTTGTATTAATGCCAATACAGAATGAAACAATACACTTACTGCAAAGTGAACACTCACTCGCGCTCGTGCTGCTCCTTTTATAGAATAAGGGAGACAAAAGAACAACAACCTTATGTTAAATGGATGCTGTGGCCCATAGATATCTAAATCTATGCTTAAATTAGAAGCAAAATGCATATGCGTTGTCACCCCTGAGAACAAAGATGGAATGCCTCGTTTCTAAAAAAAAAGTTCTCCGATTCTCTACATTCACCATACGATTATCACATACATATAGCATTAAGCTGCTATTTTACGCTGGTATTCTGTTCCCTATTTTTGACTTCCTCAATAACCAACAACATAACAAGTATCGCCATTGAGCTTCTGTATACACAATTTCTTATGTGTCATCGGGGAGCCCCCGAGCTACTATGGCTCTTAAAGTTTATTTTATATTCCTTAAAGTTTCGCATATTAATTACAAAATTTTTCCACAGGGCATAGTGTCTTTCGAGCCGAGGTAGCTTAGAAGCAAAACAAGTTCACTCCTCGAGGGTACACTTCAAAACAAATTTTTGAAGTGAAAACTTCTTTAGAATAGTTTTTTTAAATAACGTTACCGTTTCTTTACGTGGTAGAGCCGTTATATTAGTAGTATAGTTGTAACAAGAATGGGTCTGCTCGTCCGAGGAAGGACCGCGCTCTTACAGAATACCAGCGGTAAATAGTAACTTAATGATACTATTTACCGTTAAATAGTAGCTTAATGCTACTATTTACCGTCGGTGAGAACCAAAGAGAGTGCTGTGTTTCGTATGTGGCCCAGCGACAATTCAACAAATCGCACTAAATATCAGCATAAAAAAGCACTGCCGCCTTTCATATAATAACTGAGAACCGGAGACCCTTTTTACTGGAAACGAGGCATTCCGTCTTAGTCCTCACGGGTAACAACACATCTGCATTTTGATTCGTAATGGAGGATAGATGTAGATGTCTATGGGCCGCAGCAACCACTTACCATCAGGTGGAATGTGTGCTCGTTTGTCACTCTATCCTATAAAAAAAAACCACCCACACTAGGATTTTCTCCTGTATCATGGAGGCAGTTTATATACATAAATTACACAAGGACAAACATCCAGACCCGGAACAATTATTTGTAGGCCATACAAAAATTTGTTGCGTGCGGGATTCAAACCCGCGGCCCCCAGCGGGGCCACTCATTGCTAGGACACTGCGCCACGGAGGCGTTTAGAATAGTTGTGATATGAAACTCAAAACGAAAAAGTGACACTAAAAAGATACAAACGTAAGTACATTTCTATAGAATTTAGCCTGCGTGTGTATAGTGGTTAACTGTCCTTTTTTTGAAGGGTTCACTTCTATTGCGCGTGAACTGCACACATGGTTTTGTCAACCGACTTCAAAAACGAGAAGGTACTCAATTCGACTGTATGTTTTTTTAAGTGTGTTACATCAGAACTTTTTTTCTTGTGAACCGATTTTGACGATTCTTTTTTTAATTTGAAATCTGGTGGTTTTAGTGTGGCCAAATTTGATCAAGATCTGACCAGTAGTTTTTGAGTTATCCTTAATTATGCGCATTTAATTGACTTCGACTACATTGATGATGTTCTCATTTTATTTATATTGAAGAAATTTGTTAATTTTACATTTTAGTATACCTATTGATTGCTTGTAACCCTCACTAGGAAAGGTTATAACAGATAGCAAGTACACGTTTTCTTTCTTTCCGATACAAATTATTCAAATCAATTCGGAAACTCAATTTGCCCAAGGCGATTACTTACTTACCTAACGTTGCGGCTCTATTAGTTCGACCGTCGAACGCTTGCATTACAAATTCATAAAATTTTTGAACCGAATGAAAAATTCTCAACTTCATCGCTTCACTAAAGTCGAGGACGCGGGAGGAGGGGACGCCGAACGGTTCAATGAATAAGAGAAAATCAACCTTTAGAATAATTAGTCACGATTTCGACTAGGTAAAACACGACTATTAGAGTACTTGTTTGCTATGACACAAGTTCTGGATTCAACTTCCATACAACAACTTTATTTGTGCTGTACATAATTACTGTCCATCAAAAACTACTTGAGAATAAATGAATTAAAACGAAAAAAAAGAAAACCCATTTTTATTACCACTTATATCATCCACGTTTCTGGGGCTGTTTCTGATTCTTTTTACACATTTTGTAAATTAAATGAATCAACAAATATATATATTAAGACTGCCTCGTTGGTCTAGTGGTTGTAGTAGTGCGACTGCTGATCATGAGGTCCTGGGTTCGAATCCCGGGTCGGGCCAAAAAATTTATTATTGAGTTTGTCAAGAAATTCTCAGTAGTTTCCCGGAGACAGGAAGTTGGCGGTGTCTCACCCCCGTGCCTCGGAAAGCACGTAAAGCCGTTGGTCCTGCGTCAGATCTCTCTCCGGTCGTGTCGGTTTACCGTCCCATCGGATTATGAGAGTGAAGGGAATAGAGAGTGCACCTGTGCTTGCGCATACACTTGGGCACTATAATCCTGTTGCCGATGGCTAGCCTCCGTTGAGGCAGGCCGCCGTGGCCGAAATTCGGTCTAGAGAACTATATATATAACTACCATAAAATTTTATATTACCACAGGAGCATACGTACGTGCATCTTATTTACACACGGTTCGCGCATGTTTACTTCATTCAGAACGTACCCGAAATTCTAACTACAGATGAAGCAACTTTACACTGAAAATAAATTCATATCCGGTTGTAACAAAGATGAGAAACGATTGCGAAATGTTAATTAAACTTTGTGAAACCGCAGACGTAAAGGCAAATTAAATTTAGCTTATTACGACAAGAGCTGTGCTTTATCACACGTCTTTGTAAGGACAAAATGAAATTAATACAGACGGTATAATTAGTAAGATGTTCATGAAAACTTTTTACGTTAACAGAGAGAAAGGAAACTGGGGCGAAAATAGTTATTAGTAATGACGCATCTCTTGTCTTACTAATCAATACGACATCGTGTGATTGCCACGTCAGTATAACCACAACACTGGCTTATTATTGGTAGGGTAGGATTTAGCAACAACCAAGAGGAATATTGAACTTGTTCGAATTTAAAAAAGCAGCTGCAACTTTAAGCAGGAAACATTTAAGTCAAATAATACTTGTTACAAAAATTGTAAAGTATTTGTGAATAAAAAATAGTGCGCAATTGGTACGTTCATCGCATTTTAAAATTAATGTGCTTTTAGTCGTTTTCTACCACGCCGACAATATCCGAATACTACAGGAAGTTATCAATTTGGCAAAACAGATACAGTTGACCCGCGGTACCGATAAACGTTTGCAAGACAGTGTCGGATTATCGAATTTGTCGAATTTGTACAGAGTACTGCTACAGACCCCTGGTAGTCCGGAACTTTTTGAAAAAGAGGATTTTGTAATCCGACAGATTTCATTTCAAATATAAAAAATGTTATGTGATACAATGAATACCTTAACAGTAAATAATGAATGTCCGCTAAGCTACACTACCATTACCATAGCCACATTTGCACTGAGACAATTACGCGTCAAGCCTGATTAGTGGTGGCGCGGAGTAATTGCAACCTGTTTGTTCATGTATTCTTGAAGGACGCCTCACCCCGTGGCAGATTCATGGCGCGACTCGAATCTACCTACAAGTTAAAGACATGTCTGATTACAAGGGGGACGGATTAGCCAGGGGCCGGATTACCGGGGATCCACTGTAGATGGTTATTTATTTGTCCATTGCATCTTTAAACATTACAAAAATAGGTACTACACAATTACGAGAATATTAAAAACTTCACATTTTAGAAGTTTCTGCCCGACAAAGAGAAATTGCTTCGCAACTGCAGTTTTTTTTAGTTATATATAGTGGGGCCTGTTCATCAGTGGAGTTTTATAAACTGTGATGATGATGATTTCATTTAAATGTGCTGATGATGTTCAGCAGTGAATTTTAATTGGCTGTAGTAAATGAATGAATGAACCGATGGTGACAGGAATTGATAATATATTATGATAGTTTTGACGGATAGGTGGAACTTTAAATACTTATTCGAATTACAATTTTTTTATAGAAGAGGGGGCAAACGAGCATGCGGCTCACCTGATGTTAAGTGACTACCGCCGCCCATGAACAACCGCAACAGCAGGGGCATTGCAGTAGCGTTGCCGGCCTTTTACAAAGGAGTAAGCCCTTTTTCTTGAAGCTTCCTAAGTCGTATCGGTCCGGAAACATCGCCGCTGGTAAACTATTCCACAGTGCGATCATACGCGGAAGAAAACTTCTAGTGAAACGTACAGTGGTGGACAGCCAAGCATCCAGATGGTGTGGAGGGTATCGGGAGTTTTGCCGCGTAGTGCGTTCATGAAATTTTACGGAATAATTATATATATTGTTGCATGAATAAGTCAACTAGCGCCATCTAGTGTCAGGAACGAGAGCGAGGGGAGCTTTGCAGTAAATGACATCACAAATCTTTCGACCGACAGCGCCACCCGAAGAACTAAGTTTCTGGAAAATCTACACTCGAATACTCGTTGCCTGGCGCGCATTTACTTGAATGTTCGGGACGCTTCTTTGCTAATTATATAAATAGGCGCTGCAAGATGCGATCGGGGCAGAGTTGATTTGGCGACACAAGCGAAGCTTCGGAGCGGAATTAAGTGCATTAGTGTGTTTAATTAGTGTCACAAGTGTCAAGTGCAAGCGCATACAGACGCGCATCCACTAGTTCTAGTCTTATAACATTCGATTTAATTAAACGAGACCAAATAATTTAGCGACATCAAATAGCAGCGCGTCCACTGCTTGCTATGATTCGATCTGAAGGGTACAGAGAGCCAGAATGATTTCAAGCTTTCAGACATTCAATCTCAGGCCTAAGAGGTGACAACGGTTCAGTTGCAGCTGTCCATGGACTACGGTAGCCACACTTTTTTTATAGGATATGGTGACAAACGAGCACACAGTCCACCTGATGGTTGCTATGGCCATAGACATCTACATCTATCATCGATTACGAATCAAAATGCAGATGCGTTGTTACCCGTGAGGACTAAGATGGAGTGCCTCATTTCCAGTAAAAAGTGTCTCCAGTTCTCTACACTCACCATAAGAAACACAGCAGCATTAAGCTACTATTTTACGTTGGTATTCTGTGAGATCGTGGTCCTTCCCCGATCGAGCCGACCTATTCGCGCTACAACTATACTACTAATATAACTGCAGCATGGCTCTTCCACGTATAAAAACTTACCATCAGATGGACTGTTAGTTCGTTTGTTAATTCTTTATTTAATAAAAAAGGTTTAGGTATAGTATCAGTGACACGTGGATATTCACAATAATCTGGTTATTGTGAATAACCACCCAAAAAATTATAAACACTTCAAGTCATTTAGTGTGTTAAAACGATAAGTAAAAAAGTAAATAGTAAGGTAAATTACTTTTACAACATCAACGACACAAAAACTTTGTCGTTAGTGCAAGCGCAGATAACAAAATTATCGAAACACGTCTTCAGCGTAGTAAACGTACGGAGCTGTACTTAGTGTAACTAAACTGCACTAAGGTTGTACTGTGCCGCACTAAATATGCACTACGTGGTGCTAAGTTTGCACTTGCCGTACTTAATAAATTGTAACTGTACTTACGTTAAAGTATAAAAGCTGAATTTTGTATATTATATTACTTGGGTAAAATACATTTTTTTAAAGTTTAAGGGTATCTGACAAGACGTTGCCACGATACTAAATGTCTGACAACGGATGACGTGATTTCTTATATTATTTCGAAGAAAATTACGCTTTATACTTTAACAAATATAAGTTACTATTTTATACACCATTGCTACCTATTACCTGTCAAAGTCACGATGATCTAAACTTCAAAATAGCCCATCGTTCCCATCTATGTTGGGAGCATGCGCTAAGAAACTTTCAGCTTTCATAAAATAACGAAGGTCTGGCACATTCACGAGCTCTTAGTCTATATAGTACTAGTTAATAAGTTATATAAATTTTATAGATTAAACATCTGTCTGTCTAGAAAGTCTAGATGTTTACCTTAATTTCTACATTATTCAGTTAATGCGTATGATAATTAACGGGCATTTTAACAATAGGTAGTTTACTACTATAGTTATAAGGTTTTGGTTAATTTTAGTTGGATTTCGGTTTTGGCAAATTAATTAATTTAGAGACTTAATTAATTTAATGTGAAAATTAAGTGATTAACGTGACGTGTCACATTTCATCGTATTCCGTTTTGTGGATTGAAACTTATATATAACAGAGATAATTATAGTATAGGGAGTGGTATCCGTTAGTTTGTTTAGAGAAATACATATTTAATGATGGTGAGAATCTCACGTCGATACTTTCGTTGTAAATAATGTTACTTACGGTTATTTATCAATACCAACATTTTTATAGAAGTAACAAACGAGCACACAGTCCTCCTAAATATCCACTTGAGTTTGGAAGAAGCCATTCTTCGGTAGTGAACTATTTGTACCCAGTGAGGATGATGATAAGATTCGTGGCTCCGTAAGTGATGATATCCGAGTATCTTATGTAGAGATAATTGTATAAGGAGTTATAGAACCCTTACAGCCACTTTTTCCAGCAGTAGGAGTTGGCAAGCTACAGCGTGGATCCGCTAATCATTGCTACGTTTTATTTTCATCATTTTAACCTAAACGATAAAAAAGCTAGTGTCGCTAAACTAATTAAAAAATAACGTTATCTTAAGGATAAATATTATATCGACTTCATCAATATTAACCACAGAAGTAACATCAGCCATTCATGATCATCATCATCATCACTACAGACCTTCACAAGTCCACTGTCGAACATATGTCTCACCCAAGGAACGCCAGAAAGCACAGTCCTGAGCCACCTGCATCCATCGACTTCCAGGTTCACCAGGTTTTATACGTGGTAGAGCCACGCTGCAGCCATTATGGTTGTTGCATGAATGAGTCGGCTCGACCAGGGAACAACCAAGCTCTCACAGAATACCAGCGTAAATTAGCAGCTTAATGTTGCTGTGTTTCGTATGGAGAGTGTAGAGAACCGGAGACCGTTTTACTGGAATCGAGGCATTCCATCTTAGTCCTCAGGGGTGACAACGTATTTCATTAATCGAGGTTAAATTTTTATGGCTATAAAATGTCTATGGGCCATAGCATCCACTTACCATGGTGGACTGTGTGCTCGTTTGTCACTCTATCCTATAAAAAAAGTCTCCATCTAGTGGGCGACCGCCCTACACTTCGCCTATCGGCCATTATAATGATTTTAAATAAAATTTAAGGCTAGTTCTACTCTTCCTCATACGTCTGTTTGCGTATTTTAATACACTTTGACGTATTAGTAAAGCAGTTGAAGTAATTCACTTAAATGTCGCATTCTTTATTTGCTCCAAACTTTTCAGAAGCATTTTAGTTTTGTTTGGCTCTTTTCAACGTAAAGAAGTTGGATCTAAGAAAAAATTAATACAAGAAAAAATATGAAAAGTGACTGAATAAGTATTATGTAGTTCGTATTTCATGCGCTGCAATACTGTATATCAGCGCTAAATATACAAATTTAAACATAATGAATTACGGTCAAATTTCAACCACTGGCGGACCACTATTT